CAATCAATTCTAAGACCCACGGAGCCAATTGAGATGAATTATGAGACTTTATTAGCCTGCCGGCGACTGACTCGACCACCCAGGGTTCGAGGAGATCAGCCCCAAGCTCCCAAAAGAGGCAGCTTATAAAGCCTAGAACCACACCCTGGTTTAACATCACACAAGCAAACAGATTAACCACACCCTAGTTAACATCAAACAAGCAAGCAGATCACAGAAGCAGAAGTTGGCCCTCAGCATATCTTTGCCCAGAACCACACCCTTAACACTCCTCTTGTACCTTTTGGGCATTTAAGTCCTCCCTCTGCTCCATTCTTTGCCCCTCACACCTCCTCTTTTCCCCCTCATTTGTTTCCATGGACGGACACAGCCTGACACGCTACTCAGAGATAAAACCAGTATGGCCTCCCAGTGGCTTGCCTGGTGAGGGTGGCCTCTGGGAGTGCTTACCTCCAGGTGGACCGACAGTGTCATGGGAGCTGTGGGTTGGAGCCTAGTCACTCATGCGCCCTCCCTGATCCGCTAATGTAGCCCAAGTGGCTGGTCTAGACATATTTGTCTTCCTATAATGGGCTAGGTTTGTCTAACACCCGTGTGCTATGAATGTTGCCTTTGAGCTTGTCATCTCCTCTGGCTTTATCCTATTAAGTGGCCACATCAGGGACTGTTCAATGACTTTATTTGTGTTTGCACTGCACTGACTCACCAGGGTTTCCAGTTAAGCACACTAGTCTTACTATTCTGTTATATAAGGAGTGGAGGTAGAAAAAGGAACCAGTGCACTTCTTAGGAAATGGATTCTTTGGGAGCCCATAGCATGACCAGGAAGTGTGTCAGTGGTTTCTAGGGAGACTCGATTCTAAAAATACTGGTGACCGAGTTCAGTCAAGCTGGCTTCCTGGTGCACCATTTGCATACAGTTTGCATCTGATGCTTGCATGCCTTACAGGCGTTGAGTGCTGTTCTCTGGCAATCTTCAAGCCAATGTGATCCTTTTTGTACCCAGGTGGTTTCAATTTTAATTTGTTGCCCTCTTACTTATTCATGGTGGCCCAGAAATGCAAAGCAATGGCGGGGAAGGGAAGCAAGAGGCAGAAAGAAGGCCAAGTGAGAGGGGAGAATGAGGGCCACGAGTGACCTTCTATGGGACATCTCTTTGGAGAGGCTGAGTCCAGTTAACAGTGTGGCCTCCAGAGAGGAGTGAGTCTCTTTAGTACAGATTCTCAGGGTTCCCAGCAACAGCCTGGTCTTCAGCTCTGCACTCCCGTGGCCAACGGATTCAGCCTCAGCAGCTGTCCTCTGACTGGGAGACGTGGCGCCCCCCTCCCATTTGGCATCCTTCGCCACATTGTGGGGAATGTTGACCTGACCTTCTTACCTGTGTTCTTGTCTTTGCAGTCCACTCTCTGAGACCTTCGGATATTAAATTTGTGGCAGCCATCGGTGATGTGGAAACTGTGAGTATTTGAGGAGACAGTGGGAGGTGGAGTTTGGGACTCATGACTCTCTCTGAATGAGCTCCCAGTAATCAGATGGGAGGTTTCATTTTGGGAGAGAGAAACATTCTCTGAGTTGGAGAAATCCTAAAATCTAGGGGGTTTTGAGTCTTTTTTTTTTCTTTTCTCTCTAATCAAATAAAACCTCCCTTTATGTTCAAGTGAGGAAACTTTTGGAGTGTTTCATTAATAAATTAAACCCATTGATACATTAAGTCGAAGATCACACAGAATTTTAAAAGTAATCTCTTAAACTTTCTATTAAAAAGATAAAGAAAAAATGTCCTTATTTGCTTGGTAAACTTTAAAAAATACTTCCATCTTTGCTAATACATTTTAAGTGGTATATTTTACATGGTTAGGCAAAGAAGGAAAAAAGCAGTAAGGAAAAGATGAACAGAGAGAGAGATATCTAGAGAGAAGAGGGTTGGAAGACAGAGTGAATGTCAGTGTGATTCCCCAGTCAGTCCTGGCTTCCGCCCCCCTCCTCCCACCCCATCTTAGTAAAGGCCTGCTACCCGAGCCGCCCCGCACCTCAAGTCCCAGCTGGACAGACCACTCAGCAGGTGTTCACTGCTCTGCCCAGAGCACGGCCACACCTCCCGCACCTGAACCAGAACATTTTCTCCCCACCAGTGTCTTCCTCCCGCCTTCCCTGCCAGTCTCCTTCCTTGCGTCCCTCCCCTGTCCCTGTACGCCCTTTAACCTCAGCCCCTTCGCCTGGGCCCAGGCTGCCGCCTCGCTGCAGGCCCCAGCCCACTACCCCAAGCACGGTGCCTGCTGTATGTAAGTTACAAGACTTCACATTGGAAACCTGACCAGCAGCCCAGTGAAGTCAGGCAGGCAGAGCTTCCCATCCTTGTTTTATTCCATCCGTGCTGGTGCTGAATGGAATGAGTGACTGTGTGTGTATGGATGGGGGGTGACGGTGGAAATTTGCTGCTGGGAGGGATGTGAAGGGGGGTTGTGGAATAAATGAGAAAAGAGGCTTCATGTTACGAATGGCACATTGACTTTGCTGAGCCCGTGTGTCCCTGCACGCCGATGGTTACGTTCCAGAGCCCGGAATGTGTGACACTCGCGGGCGAACCTCCGTATTCTTCCGCTTTGGGCAGGGAAATTCACTGCAAGAAAATCTCCACCCCAAGTCCGGTTTCTAAAGTTAAACCAATCGATGACTTCTATTCTTTGGTCTCAGCTCTGAAAGAGCTTCTTATTCATGAATTATTCAGACTCCACAGCTCCTGCCTGTCACTCAGCTCATCCTTTCTCCTCCTGTGAGCCTGAGGCCTGTGGCACTGGAATACAGCTTCTGTCCATGATGGTCTCCCAGCCCCAGAGTCATTATACTGATGAGCACCTCAGCCTTCAGGATAAAGCTTGAGAGCACAGCTCCTAGGAGGCCACCTCCCTCTGTCTGCCCTGAGAGCCTGCTGTCACGAACTGGTGCATAAAAAGTCAGGCTGGGGCAAAATAATGGAAAACAGTGAATTTAAAAAGGAAACAGTTCATAATGCTAATGCTTTTGCTTTGAGCTCCTGGAGCTTTCTGTAACCAAGGCACTATCGCTTACCTGTGACTGTAATTAGCGCTTATTTGTTTAATTGCTCTGGACTCTTTTCTTCATAGCACTTTAAAGATCAGATTTGTAAATGTTCATCAAAGTTACTCTCAAACTGATATGATACATGCTCAATATGAGAGACAAACAAAATACATATATTTATAGTATAAAAAACTGAGTTTGCCATTCACATCTCCTATTCTGCCTCAACACACACTTTTTTTTCAACATGAATTTAGAGCACCCAAAGTGGAGATTAGGTGGGTGTACCCAATATTATGCAAGTTGTATTGTTTTTTGCCTGCTTGCTAATAAATGTTGTTTAAGAAATTGTGTGTGTGCGTGTGTGTGTGTGTGAGAGAGAGAGAGAGAGCGAGAGAGAGAGAGAGAGAGAGAGAGACCTAAAGTAGAGTCAGACTGTAATATACTATCTGTGACTTGGTTTTTTGCTTAACTGTCATAGACATTTTTCTGGGCCAGGGAGGTTATAAGCCACTATGTCAAAATCCTGGAAGGCGGGGACTGTGTCTGGCTTAGCTTTGTGTCTCCAGCACCATAGTACCTGCCACAGGGCAGGCATCCAGCCAATGAAGAGTGCGAAGAGGAAATGACTGGCAGCAGGCAAAACAGAGACATCGGCGTTTCCTGGGTTTGCCCAGCTTTACCTTGCTCACTGAGCTCTTCCCCTCACTTTGAGCCTCATTCTTCTTGTTCTCCTTTCTTTCCCCGCTCACCTGTCTACACCCCTCCCCCCATCAAGCTTGGTCTGAGGAAGACTTCTGCTACTAGTCAGACTCCCTTTGGTTGGGCACAGACTTTTCCATGTTGTCTCAGCCCCAGGAGAGCTGCTTTTCTCATGACATCACCTGTCTGGCATCTTTGGCTGGCTCCTTGGGGAGAAGCAAGGGACTCCATCCCCAGTTAGAGAAATGTCATGGTCAGCCCGTGCTCCTGAGAGGACTTCTGAGGCATGATCCAATTGTGTAGACCGGCTGTCATTTGAGTCAGGTGGTTAAGGATAAACAGACTCTTTAAAGAGAAGCAGCAGCAGGCTGGGTATAGGCAGTGTGGGTACAGCTGTCACCTGTCACCACCATACCTGAAGACACTGTCTTCTAGGAATTTAAATCTCTGAAAATAATACTACTGACAGCAGCTAATGTGTACTGAGCACCTTCTATGTTGTGGGCAGGATTCCAAACACCCCTAGGACCTTTTGCAAAAGACACAATTCCCGGGTGGGTCACCCTGTGTCACCTCTGGCCCAACAACAAGGGCACCTTTCCAATAGAGAGGGTCCTGGTCATCTAGGATCTTACCAAGAGAAAAATCAGAACCTTATTTTGTTCTTTCAAAAAGTATTTATTGAACAAATATTTATCGAGTACTTATGATGTGTCAACATCGTCCTAGGCTCAAGGAATATAGTCCGAAGCAAAACAGACAGAAATCCCTGCTCTCGTGGTTCTTACATTCCGGTCAGGGGAGACAGACAATAACCAAAATGAGTCTTAGATTATGGACAGTCACAGCGACGCTATCTCCTTTACTTCTATGTAGAGTGTGAATAGGGTTTCACGATGCGTTTAAATCTAAGCTCTCCTGCCCCATTTCTGTTCTGAGGGAAATGGTCACACCATCTATTGCTCTGGGTTCTGACCAACGATGCTGTGCAGGAAGCCTGACATTCACGGGCAGATTGGACCCTTCCCTGGATCCGTGGGTTCCCTTTTATCACTGAGAGGGGCTGTCAGGTAGCCGGGGTCTCTCGGGGTCACCCGCCTTCCCTGGCTGGGTGTTAATGCTGCTTATCTTTTCCAGCTTCCAGACTCAGGAACAGCCGACATAGAGAATCACCAATGGTAAATACCTTGGAATCACAGAGAAGCAGGGCTGAGAGGAGCCTCAGTGCTGATGGGCTCTCATCCCCTGGTTTCACCGATGGGGAAGCCTGAGGGCCAGGCTGGCGAGGCCTTGCACTGGCTCTCTTAGGAGCAGGTGGCAGAGTCGGGGACAGAACCCAGCCTCCTGCCTTCCAGTCCAACACTCGCCATGCCTGGCTCCCTGGGTGAAAGGAAAAGCAGAAAAGGCCAAAGGGGGGATTCTTGCTTCCCACCACCAGGCTTATGGCTCTGCTCAGGGGATAGCGTGCAGGGTGGACCAGGTTCAGCCTCATTCTACACAGGGCTCTGCAGCTCGGGCCCTACTGGAGATGTGGAGAGGAGGGTTCAGATGGAGCTGTGCAGCCCATTTGGGTAAATCCATTGCCATCCAAGCTATGTCTCTGACTCCAGGAAGGATAACCCCAGAACCTGAGCCAGGCTGAGCCAAAGCTGGTCATGACGCAGACCCCAGCAAGCAGCCCAAGGAAAGGGTTGTTGGCAGGTGACAACTGCCGTCTGATGCTTGCATGTTTGCTTCTACTTGTAGGACTGGAAAAAGGCCAGAGCAGGTGTGCATGGGAGTGGTGACAGGTGAGTTCTGTGTATTTATGGCCAGATTCCAGATTGTCCCTATCCCTCCCAACACAACAGCATTCTAGTTAACGAAGAGAATATCCTATCGACTGCTTCATCACTGAGCCTAAAGAGAAAGGAGGAGGCATTCTGAGACAGACAGGGAGCCCGGGTATGAAAAGGCACATATCCTATGAGAGGTTTCTCTGAGCAGAGAGAAGTCAGGAGGCATTGGGTGACATTAGGGGACATGGGAGCAGGGCCCAGCACTGGCTGGGCCAGAGTCCCAAGGCTCCTTCTCCCCCAGAGTCCCGAGGCTCCTTCTCCCCCAGGCCTCCAGGACCGGACTAGTAGCGTGTCATCTGGGGAAAGGGCCTGCCATTTATTGCTTCCCCGCACCAAGGAGAAGACCCCAGTCTAATTTTCAGCTTATTTCATTTTGTAATCACTTCCTTGCTTATAAAATAGATATTGCAATTGGGTTCAGAAAAATGAAATGAAGAAAAGGAAAATCAACTATATAGCTCACTATCTAGAGATAATCATGAACGTTTTGGCCTTCTTCCGTATGAATGCCATCTGTGACCTGTTGTTTTGTTTTCATTTAACATCAAATGTCTCTTATGACTCTATTAAGTCACCTGAGACCCTAAGTCCTTTAACGCCAGCTGAATTAGCCTGGTGGGATATTAGAGTCACCTCTGCTTGGTGCTCACAAGTCAATGACAAGGAGTGAGAAGGCTCAGACCCCAATGCACGTGCTCTTCCCAGCTGACACTTCTGGAAGAATAATGACAGCAAGGTGGCTAGTGCCTGTCAATTCAGCCAGTGATTTTCACCAAGGGCCTGGGAAGTATTAGGCTCCTTGCAAAGGACGGGGACGACTCCGACACTGGCCCTGCTTTCAGCCCTCGCCACCCAGCAGGGGAGGCTGAGGCCTGCTGTCCAGCCTTCCAGGGTCCGATGGACAGGTGGTAGCCAAAGTGGTAGGAGGGTGCCCTTGCAAAGGGTCAAAAGGTTCTGAAAAACGACGCCCTTACTGACTTAGCGACTGTCATCGCTCTGTCTAGGTTTGGCCCTGTTTACCTTTAAATGGTAGAAAGAAAAAAAAAAAAAACAACGAAATATTTGTCTTGTCTGGGATGATGGAATGTAGTTTAGACCCTGAAACCACAAAGACAGCTTATTTGCCTGATTTTTTAGTTTGTCTCCTTTTTATTGTCCCTCACCCACCTGATAACAAGTCCTAACTGCCCCTCCTTTAGCAGAGAGTGACCAGGAGCCCCACCTGGCCAGAGGCGCCGCCGAAGGCTGGGCAGTGAGGGCTGATCTGGTGCCCGGATGTCCTCAAAGGCAGGACTCATCGTTGCTGCTAGTGAATCCAGCCTACATTAGGCAGGGGGAGGGAAGGAGGAGTGGAGTGTGAGTCCTGGAAGCTCAGCTGGGTGACCAAGCCAGCAGAGGAGCCAAGGAGAAGGTGCTCTGGGGACATCTAGGCCCCCGCAGTGTGCAATGGGGCCAGCCCGAGCTCAGTCCATCTATCCTTCAACCCCAGGACCTTATAGCTCTTCAAATCTAGCCACGCTTTGCCTACCACAGCCAGCATGCAGATGGGAAAACTGAGTCGGGGGTGGCGGGGCAGGGGAAGGGACTTTCTCAAGTTACATGGTTCGTACCTGGCAGAGTCCCTGTGGACTCAAGTGGTCCTGCCCCACAGCCTGTGCCCTATCCTGACCCCTCTGGCGATCCAGAGAGAGAACAGACCAGGTACACAGCAGATGTAAAACAAAATGACGGGCAGATTTATGTGAAAAGATCTAAGGTCCTGTTTGACCACAAGAAGCAATATCATACAAATACCTTTAACTACAAAGCAGTTCTCTTTCAAAGACCTAGAGCAGACATTCATGTTCTATCGTTCACCCTCACAGAGTCTCCTGAGGTGAAGTGTTCTCCCCACCCATACATACTCAGTCGACCCTCACAGAGTCTCTCTCCTCAGGTGAAGTGTTCTCCCCACCCATACATACTCAGTCATACCACTCACTTACACACACACTCACACTCAATTCACACTCACATGCACACACACATACTCAGCTCACACGCTCACACTCAGCTCGCATACTCTCATGCTCGTTCACACACACACACACTCACATGCACACACACATACTCAACACACACGCTCACACTCAGCTCGCATACTCTCATGCTCATACGCGCTCGCAACACCACACACACACTCACATGTGCACACACACTGTCCTAAAGTCTTCCACTGGCCTCAGAGGTCTCTGTCTTCTCACCACGTGTGGGAATGGGCTCCTTCTGCAAGGTGGTCAGTACTTAGAAAAGGAAAAGGAAGTTCATTAGTTCGGGACAGGATGAAGATGGAGCCACACACGACTTGGGTGGCTGCCCAGCCCGACAGAGCTGAGTGACCGGTCTCCCAACTCCAGCCCAGCTCCCCACCCCTTCTCTGTCTGCTGCCTGCACAGTGTCAGCTCCCTGCACAGGGAGCCCCTTTAAAGCCGCCTTCTGGATTCTGCTCCCACGAAGCCCCAGACACTTCTGGATGGGGGCAGAAGGGACGGGGGACTGGGGAGGGGGTGGAGGCATCTCCTTCTCATCACGCTCTCCCCCGTCTGCCCTCTCATGTCTCCTGGGAGCAAGACACAACTGCTCCTTGACAGCACTATTTTTAGCGGTCCTCTGGCTGTCAGCTCTGGGACATGTTCTCTGTATGTTCCCTGGAGCTTTCCCACCCTGCTGTCACTCTCAGAAGAAGGGAGGGGGACCGGGAGGCAGCCTGCCTGGGTCTCAGTCCCACACACTTTCTCTCATAGGGCCATAGCACACAACGGTAAAAACCTTTGGCATCTGAGGGCTTTGGTTCAAATCCCAGCAACTTCAGTTAGCCTGGAGACCTCGAGCGGGTTGCTTAGCTTCTCTCAGCCTCAGTTTCCCCTTCATACATGTAAAGCGCTTAGCACTGGGCCTGGCCTAGGACTTAAAAGATGTTAGTCCCTTGCAGCCCGAGGCAGTGCGAGGTCCCGCTTTGGAACAGGGGCAGCAACCGTGGTACCTCCCCGCAACTCCACAGGCGACCTCCAGCTGTCAGAGCCACAGCCTCAAACCCGCGCTCTCTTTAGTCCTTTCAGAAGTCATCCGACGCTTCAATCCCTCTGTGCTGAGGCCCGTGTGCACCCCTGGGAAGAACGTGGGACCCCACAGTGGTGCCGAGTAAGTCCCTTTGCTAGCTCTCTCCAGGGCTGTGGATTCCTGCCAGTCTTGGACATCTGGGCGGGAGGGTCTGGCAAAGTCAAAAAAGGCTTAAAAAGTAGAGGTCTGTGTTAAGTCAAAGCCAAAATGCCTCTCCTGGCTGATTTCAGTCTCCCCGATAGGCCTGATTTAAAAAGTCAGGCCAATGTCTGTCCTCCAGAAGCCAGGGGCGGTGCAGTGCAGCCTTGGGCTCAGAGACTGGCATCTGGGCAGGGGTGAGGGGCAAACTTCTAGCCCTGGGCAAAGTTGTATTTATCTGATTTTCTCTCTGCCCTGCTCCGCCTGTGCAGGGACTTGTGGATTCAGGCAAAAGAACTGGTGAGGAGCATGAAAGAGAACCAGGTAAGAATCTACTGGACTCTCTGGTTGGGGCTGCCCGTGCCTGGTGCAAGGCAGTCAGACCAAACACATCAGGCAGCCGTGACTGCAGCCATTGTGCCCTGAATTCAGCAAGGAAGGCCTGGGCACTCCAAAAATGCCCTTCCCGTGGTGATTCTCCGGAGACCCTTAAAACATAGGGCCACTTCTTATGTGCACAATGGCATTATTCTGTGTGGTCCGGCTAAAAGTTAGCAGATGGAGTAAGTGACATCTTACTTAGGGAGGTGGTTGAGAGCTTAGGTTTTAGAGGGTGTCCGGTTTGAGAGTGAATCCTGAATTCTCCCCCTATTAGCTATGTGATACTGAGTAAGGCATTTGACCTCTCTAAGCCTCAGTTTTCCCATTTATGAAATGGGTGTAATAAAAGAAGCTACAGCACAGGACTTAGGGAGGATGAAATGAGGAGTCGGGCGTGCCTGGCACTATGAAAGCCTATAGTCGTCATTGCCATTGAAGTGGTGATTGCTGTTATTATTAATTACCGTATTCATTTTAGCCCTGAGGTGGAGGCCTCTGTAACATACATGCTGGGGCCCTGGTACGCAGACTTCTAGCAGTTCACATGGTTTTTATTTGGTAACTCATGAGTTTGTAAGAAGCATCCTCCAATCTTTGTGCTTTTCTTACGGACAAGTATCAAAGCAGGTCTTGCTGCCACGTCTGGCTCTAACCAAGTGCTGAGCCTGGACCGCTGGAACCAAGGTCGGCCGCTGTCTCAACCAGCCATGCATTTATTAAAGGGATCGGGCATTAAAGCCAGACCATTACAGGTTATATAGGGACAGCAACAAATGCAGGAGCTGTGCCGTAAAGAGTTGGTTTCTCCCTAACGAGAGAATCCCAGAATTTCTGGAGGAATAATAATCTGGAGAATAGCTGGGAGGTCTTGAAACCAACGTCGTAATTTTACAGATGAGGAAACTGAAGTCCCAGAAGGTATGTGACTGGTCCAAGTTCACACAGCTAGTTAGAGCTAAAATCTAAGGTGTCTGATTCACAGTCCAGCACTCCTCAACTACATCACGCTGCTTCTTAAAGAACAAAACACAAGTTTACTTTTGGTTCCATGAGTGACACGTGTTTATTCAAAGTTAAAAAAATTAGAAAACACAAATGAACATAAAGAATATTACCCAGAGATGATTACCGTCGACAACTCAGGGTACATCTCTTTCCACATTTTTTTCCAAATACATTTATTCCAAGCATCTGTGTATATTTTATAAAACAAGGAAGCTACTAGATGTAGATACTTTTTGCAACCTAATTTCCTCAATACAATATTTCACATGACATTAATTACATTTTCCAGCATACTTTTAACAGCTATGTAGTATTTCATCTTATGAGTGTTCCACAATTTACACAGCAATCCCATATTTAGACATTTATGTCGCTTTAGTTTTTTACTGTATGAACAAGGCTTCATTGTTGTAGCTAAATCTTTCGTGTATCCTTATTTCCTTAAAATACAGTCTGAAAAATGGAATTCTTGGATAAAAGGGTATGCCCTTAAAAAATAGTTTTTGATATATTTTTCCAACTTGCCTTCCAGAGCTGTTCATACAACTTTAGATTCCCATCATATACTTTGAAAAAAAAAATATATAAATATGATTTCATGGGGATGGGTGTATGAAATTGAAAGACAGGGAGAAATAGTTCTTTTTGTACCAGGCCTTACTACTATCTCTTTTCGATGCTGTTTCCCTTTCCTTTAGCAACTTGACTTTCAAAATGACTGGAAGCTCATCAACGTGTTCTTCAGTAACACAAGCCAGTGTCACCTGTGTCCCTCCGCCCAACAGGTAAACGGCAGGCTGGGAGGCAGAGGGATTGCAAATCTCAGGTGGGTAGAGTAAATGAACTAAACCTGCCTGATCTGCACCTGTCAGGGCCTGATGGCATCTATTTCAGAGTAGATAGATAGATAGATAGATAGATAGATAGATAGATAGATAGATAGATAGACAGACAGATACATACATACATACATACATACATACATACATACATGCCACATACATACACAATAGGGGCTCAAGCAACCTAATACCGGGACTGCTGTTTTTAACTTACCATATTTTATATCAAATTGAAGTATAGATAAACTTAGTCAATGATCATTCTACAATTGGGGAAAAACAGCTTCCTGGTTAAAAATCTTTTTGCGTCTCTTAACTCTGATTTCTTTTAAGTACTGAATTTAGAAAAGAAAGTAAGATGTGTGCTCTTGTCATTACCTCTTGAACTCTGGTTGTAATGGGAGGCCTGCTGTTTTTGTATATTCTCCAGGCTCTTTAGCTTTCCTGGGAACAGGATATGAACCATGTGGCTTCATTTATTATTCATGTAGGTGACTATCTAGGACTTAAGTCTTTATTGATGATCGTCCAGGTCAGGATCAGTTGAAAGTGTAAGGAGTGGCTTAGATACCAAGGCTATGAGGACATAAATGGCACACAGACTCTTCTTCAGGAGTCTGAGGCATGGTTGCCACCAAGCTGGCTCTGCCACTTATAGCAAACCAATTCCTTGCCCACTGTCCCCTCAGCCCCCTTCCAGGGCCTCCACCACGACACGGGCATGGGTCGACGTTTCTCAAGGTGCTGTCCTCCTCGGTTCTGAGCCCTCCTTCCACAACATGTACTCGGCCTTCCTCCGAATGCCCCGTGGCTCCACTGACTCCTGCCCCATCGCCAAAGCCCCCTCCCTTTAGAGATGTTGGGTCGTGGGAGAACGCGGATGCAAGCCTCCCTTCCCTAGTCAGCTCTTGTTGAGCAGTCTTCCTGCAGATCTCCTGGGTTTGTGGCAAATAGACCTCGAAGGTTTGTTGTTCTACTTCACCCACGCCCAGTGAAATTTACACGCTCAGTTCTCTTCCCCCTCCCCAGCGTTTCCGTTTGGTCGTTACGCACGCTTCTTTATGATTTACACATTCATGCATTAAAGTGCTCAAACGAGCACTTAGGCATTGCCATATTTCTCTATATCGTCACACATTTATCCATCCATCAAAAAGTTGTCTATTCATGCATAAAGTCATTCTCTCTTTTTATATGGAGACACATGCTGTTGTATTTATGAGTATGTTCATGCTAGCTTTTGTTTGATTTTTTTTTTAATGTTGGAATGCTTTCACTGATGCTTTACTCACTCATGATTTCTTCCATACTCTTCTTGCACTCAAGCATTTTTATTTGAATTCTTGCATTCTTTCATGTATTTGTGCTTTCAAGCATTCTTAACTACACGGTACTTTCTGTGTGTATGTATCCATTTATGCATTATTTACTTTTATTGGTTTTAGTTACATAAGCAATGCACAAATGTTTTCTCCTTTTAAAAAATGAAAACATTACAGTTCAAGCTAAAATACCCTTTGGCCACCACCTCTATTCCTCTCCCTTTTTATTACTAAGCCTTTTATATATCTGTGAATCCTAGTATTATTTTGCGTGTGTGTGTGTGTGTGTGTGTGTGTGTGTGAATTAGAAAGATATAACATGAATAGTATTATACTGTATGCACTATTGAGCGATTTTTTCAGTAACCAAGTATTTTTGAGGTCTAGTCATGTTGATACATATGAATTGAGCTTATTCCTGTTATTTGCAAAATAGTTTTATATTGTGTAAATTTACTACATTTTATTTTGTTGTTCCCTTTTGTTGGCCATTTAGGTGTTTCTAGTTTTTCACTATTATAAACAATCTTGCTTATTTACTTGAACCTTTTAAAAAAAAAATACAGTGATTTTTCAGACTGTAAATTAAAGTATGTTCATAGGTCAGAAATCAGTTTAAAAGATTGCAATTAAAATTATAAATATAGAAGTAAAATAGAATAAACTATAACATTAGTATTCATTGCATACAGTCAGGTAAATGTTAGTTCATGGTTATTTTTGCTTATTTCTAGATATGTGTCCTGAGTTGTGATGTGAAACATATGTAACATTTGCAGCTCCTAGGTCTGGCTCTCAGCCAGCTTCTCTTCATCCCCGCAGCCACACTTCTGCTGCCCAGACCCCCCACTCACCTCCTGGTCTTCCCGGTGGTGCCTCTGGCCACAGCTTCCTCTTCAAGTGCACTCAGTGGCATAGCTCAGGCCCCTGATCAGAGAAGTCCTTACACAGCACTTTGCATTCCCAAAGCACATCTCAGGTTCCGTCTCTCCCTGGGGGCTTGTTCTGCAGAGTTCCGGGGGCCACTGGAGGTGCCTCTGAGGGCACACACAAGGCTGAGAGGTGGGCTTCCGGCTTCCAGCTGACTTCACGGAGCAGCCCCGCCTTTACCTGTGCCATAGGTCAAGTTTCCTGAAGAAGTTCGTGTGAGAAAAGGGTGTTTTACTGTTAAGAAATGATAACCTCCTTTATCCCCTACTTAAGACCTGGAATTTTTCTCCCCTGCTAGGACTTCCAGCCCTTTTTGTAGGGAATAGACAAGGCCTGTGTGCGCATTTGTTCTTTAGGGGTTTCTTAAAACCGAGGTCATAGGAGAATAAAATCAGAAGCCATCCATTAGGCAGTGACAATGCCTCAGGGCCGCTGTCGCGTTTCCAGCTATTCAGAGGCAGGTAGGTGCTTCAGAGGTAACTGATGACCTGGCTCATTGCAGTAACACAGGATGCTTGTAGGGTCTGGATTCTTTTTACTGCTCTCTAGTTAAAGACTAGTTTTGTTAATGAATAAGATTTTAAAAAATCAGTTAAAAAGAATAGAAAAAAAATGAAGAGAAAAAAGCCAAGGACACTGCAAGAAAATATATATAATTATTTGTTGCAAATGCTTTAGGAAGCAGGTGTCAACATTTTGGAGGGGACACTGGCAGGATGATTCAAGAAATCTGAAGTGTTTGTATCTTTTCACTGAATACGCCTCATTAGAATAAACGTCAAGGAAATAATTTATTAGAAAAAGTTAAGTTTTGTCTCAGGCACATGTTTGATAATATAGCATTCTTCAGACTCTAGGGGCAAAAGATGTAAATGAAAATATGCAGGTTCATTTGGAGAAATAAGCTTTTTCCTGACTTTGGTTTCAAGGAGGAGTTTATTATGTCCGACCTTATAGACAAGGGACATTTTATAGGCATGTAATGTCTTCCACTAAGAAACAGGGACAGTTAGTTATGACCAAGTGACAACCTGGAGTGACTGGATGGGCCCTGATTTCGCTCTGCAGCTGTCCATAAGCTCCTTGACAAAGAGTTTTCTAAAGCAGGCTTTGCTGTCAGGGAAGAACCACGCAGGGCTCCGCGGTGTCCCTGGGGAAGGCAGATGCCCTGAATGGGTATGGATGGGCGGCGAGGACCTTTCTAGACAGAGTTCCCAAGGCTCTTCAGAAGGAACAGTGAGATGCTTAATGTCATGCTCGGAGAGAGACTCACTCCGACCGAAAAAATGAGACAAGGCTTTATTGCTGGCCATGGCAACAGAGCGGGCTGAATTGGCTTCCAGAGAATAACGCCCCAGCAAAGCAGAAACTGGGGAGGAGGGACACTGCCCCACATGCGTCCCGGCCCGAGTGATTGGCAGCTATCTCCAGAGTCACCGCCTATGTCTCCCCAGGAAACAGCGCAGCTCCTGGGCCTCCCCGGTCTTCCTGTCTGAGCCAAGTCGCCTCAGGGGATGGCTGGTTTGTAGGCAGCTTAGGAGTTGGTGTTGTTATAAAGTTTATTTTTGTTTGCCATTTTTTTGTTTTTGTTTTTACTCTGGAAAGGTAGACCGGGGTCTATTTTTGAGCTGGTCTTATTTAGTTATTTATTTTCATTACTTGCAAAGAATGAGTGGGTACGGGACGCCTTTAAATACTCAATGACAGGAGCCCTTTTCTTACTTGGGGAAAATGTGACAGGGAGAGTTCTGATACAAGAGTAGCCAGGTAGAAGTTTTAAGGCCCGTCTGGGTCCTGAAATCCAAGGGTAATTGTGTTCCCCCTTCGGATCTGATATTCTTCAGATAAAAGTGATTCCATCAGCCTTGGGGAGTGAATCCTGTTTCCCATCCCTGGATGTGAGCTTTAGAATTGCCTTGACCTTGAGTTTTCCCTTCCTTGACATGGAACGTCTCATTTGGGGGAGTTTGGTTTTTTCCTGGTAGATGACAGGTTGGGGAAGTCAGAAAATGGACAAAATCCTAGGAAGCTCTGGGAACTCTACACTCGTTTAAGTGAAACTGGGGTCTAGTAGAGCCTTTGTCGCTGTCATCTCTGCTGAGGGCAGGGGTTGGGGAGGGGAAGGGACAGGCCAAAGTGAACCTAAGCATCCTTGGCCCCATGTTCCCTGTCCTCACCTACATTCAGCACATCTCTCCTCTCACAGCCAAAGGACGTGATGGGTGGCATGGACAAGCTGACTAGGATGCTGGACTACCTGCTCCAGGAGGTGAGGCCTGCAGCTCCCCCAACTCTGTGAGACCACACACCTGGCGCTTCCTCACGGATGCCTTCTGCAGCCATGAGCAAGCTGCCCTTCTGAGGGTTGGCAAGGCAGGTTCTGGTTACTCTCCAACAGCCTCCACTGAGTTGAAAAACATGGAGTAGTGCCAGATTTCCTGTGAGGAGGATAAGACCCCAGGGAAAGGGTCTGGACGAGCCCATCTTTCACTCTTTTAAGGAAAACCTGGGTCAGGTATAGAGCCCTACACTCGTGCAAAAGATATTTCTGACAGAGTCATCTGGGGAGGAAGAAGGAATAGAGCACAGTTCTTCACGGGGGACTTGGTGACCCGCTCTTTCCCGAGACCTTTCTCTGACTGAGTCTGGGGCAGTGGTGGCCTGGAGGGGCCTGGAGAATCTTCAAGGCTTTCTTTTCTAGAGGGACCACGATGAGTGCTGCAGCTTCCAAGACTCCAGGGGGAGCTCTGTGGCTCACACCTACCCCTGAGCTCCCTGAAGAGGCAGCTTTCCATCGCAGCTTCCAGAGAGGGTTTAGAGTCCCATCCACTGTGGTCCTGCTCCCCTGTTGACACTGTGGTGGGGAGGTGCCCTGCCCACCATGAGGGATGGCGAATGACACATTTCTGCACAACCAACAGGGCTGGCAGTTTAGGACCAACATCAAGCAAGCATCTCCCAAAGAGGCTTCACATACTTACCCAGACCCCAAGCTCGGCTCAAACTAGGGGTTCCAGGGAGGACCCTGGGAAGCAATGGTGACTTAGAAAATGTCCATCTTCTCCCTCGTATACTCCTAGGTCCCTAAAGCATTTGTGAACCTGGTGGATCTCTCTGACGTTGTGGGGGCCTCTCCCTGGCATCAGGAGACTCATCTCAGGTAAAAAGGGGAGTGGAATGGGACTAGTGTTTGTTGAGTGGTCGCCATGTGCCAGGCAGGCACTGTGCGGGGCACTTCACGTGCATTAATGCTATGAAGAAAACCCAAAGGTTGGAGGCCGAGAGAGAGTAAGTACATGTGTGACATGTGTGAGACCACACAGCTAGTGAGCAAAGTCAGGCTCGGGGAGGAGCCCTCCGCCAAGTACTGTTCTGGGGACTGAGCGAAAGGATGAACTATTCAGTCTGGTCAATACAGTGCCGGATGACCTGCCCCCACCAGGATGCTCTGAGAGTCTGAAACAGGTGTGGCAAAGCATCCATAAGCCGAGAAGTGACAGTTCTAGAAATGGGAAAGAACAAAATTGAGCCTAAATGTATTTTATCTTCGCAGAACATGATTCCCACATATTTCTGAAATTAGTCATAGAATTTTTTACTCTTTGAACCCAAATCCGAAGATTCCTGGCTTAGCACCCAGAAAAGAAGTTCATGTGAAAAAAGTTAGGGTAGGGACGGCTGGAGGTGGTCACAATGGAAAGAGCGGACCCTGCTGAGAGGAAAGGAGGGTTCTGAAGAGAAAGGGCACCTGGAGTTGGGGGAGGGAGCATTGGAGGGGGTGTGGAAGCAGCAAAGGCGGGTATAACCGGTGGAGGGTGAGAGCATGTCTCCACACCCCTTCCCCACGCCAAGGAGCCTGACCGCAACGTACCTTTCCACTCTACCCTTTATTCTCTCCAACATGTGCTCCCCGCCTTCTCCGGCACCCTCTGAGACTTTCCATTTCTCCTTCCCCACTCCCTGAGCGACTCCCCGGCGCCCTCAGCCCCCACCTTCCTTGTTTTCCCATGGGGCAGCCTGACGCTGTATCCACACTCTCGTTTCCCGCTTGTTTTAACCTGCAGCTCCACAGCAGAACCCTGCAGCTGCCCAGGGGAGACCTCGAAGCTGTTCAGGGTTGTGACACAGTGGTCCTATCAGGTGAGCCCGCTCTGGGAGACTGGCAGCTGGCTCACAGGGGTGGGGGGTCGTGGAAGAGAACAGGGGCAGTAGGGACAATTGAAGTGCCAGTTTGCTGCAGTAAGACTTCTCCGACTGAACGTGGAACCGAAGAGCGCTACTCTCGGTTCACTCCCTGGGGATGGCTTGGTATCCCTGTAGGTAAAGTGGGGACGACGATCCTGGCAGGTTGGGAGGGGGGCGGTGGTGGTGCTTTCGGTAAAGGATAGTGAAGGACTTTGCAGATTCATTCAGAGATGGGTTTGATAGTCATCACCGCTTGTATCGCTGCATCTGTGGCTGGTCAGCTGGTTTTGCCTCAGACTACAGCCCATGGGAAACTCGGGATTCCCAAAGATGTGCATTCTAGTTTAGCAAAGAGACCCCAAGAGAGTGAAGATGGATCAGTGGGAGCCATCATTTCCATCAGCAAACAGCTCAAAGCACAGTTTTTATTGACATGCGCTCGCATGATGACTTTTGTTTAAAAAGAAAGTTATATATAAAGCTGTGTGGCATTTCTCTCACTCTGGAAATAACATGTTTCGAATGGTAAATGGCACATCCCTCTATGGAACTTAGCCCTGAACAGAGCCTGGGGGCCCTAGCTGTACGCTGGTCTTGTGTGTCCTTTTCAAACTCTCTGAGAATATATTTCGGGTCTATCTCTGGTTTACCTGATGCTGAGACTTCAGAGGAAAAATTAAAAACCTGATTTAATTAATCAAAGGTCCCAAAGCAGGAGACGAGAGGGAGCTTCCTACTAGCATTTAATTCAGAGCAGCACATGGTGGGTGACTGTGACCGAGTTGCTGCTGAGACCTCCCTGCTTGTGCTCCTGGGTGCGCATCTCTGTTCCCCTCTTCAGGAAAGCTGGGGACGTCTCCTGGCCTCCAGCAAGTACAACGAGCAGGAGAGCTTCGCAGTGGTTTTCCAGCCCTTCTATGAGACAGCCCTGGAGCCACTCTCGGTGAGTGAGGGTGGCCGTGACCTACACCCTCTCCCTCTCCCGCCCAGTTCCCCTCCACCGAGCCCAGGATGTGCAGTCTCGGGAAAAATGCTGCAACATTCCCTTATCCTTTCTTGCCGATTTCCCCATGGGACTGGAGGTTCTGAGAGGCAGAGCTGCCCAGAGGTAAGGAGCACGCACTTGAGCCAGAGGGCTCCTGGCTCTGAAATGCACCAGCTGTGTGACCTCAGGGAAGTTGTCAGGACTCTCTGTACCTCGGGTCCTCACCCGAGAAATCAGAGCCATTATTAACATTCCCTCCCTCTGGGGCGGTCGTCAGGATCACGTGAGTGAATGCGTGAAGCCCTCAGTACCGCATAGCTGTTGTGACGACTCAGGATAGGATTTCCGGGGCACCACGTCGCCCTCTTCCCTCTGTAGATTCTGCATCTACCCTCGGAAGGGAGGGTAATGTGAGTTGCCCTGACTCCACCAGGTCACTTGGGAAATGCCTCTTACCCCAGTGGGGTGTCCAGACCATGAGCATGGCTGGTGGGGTTGACACATGCTCAACAGGTTCTCCCTGACACCGCTGAGGCTTCAGCACTGGGTGCCAGGGACAGTCCCTCCTTGTCATCTCCTGGCTGGAGTCATTGTGCCCCCTCTAGGACTCAAACCATGTTTAAATAGTGGTTTTAAAAGGACGGGGAGAAACATTGGTTCCTAGGCCTTGCTCCTGCTCGGACCACGTGTGAGTCACTTAGCTATCACCACTCCTCCTGCCGGTTAGTTCAGTCGTGGAGATCTCCATGATGATCAGGAGCCACCAGGGTGTGACCTGCTCCTGCAGGCCCTCGCCTGTGAGCCCTGACACCAGACAGAGGTCCTATAAGTACCTGCTTGTTAGGGGGCTGAGAGGAAGAGTATGGACAGATCAAGGCCACCCCATCTCTGCCAGGGAGAGCTTCAAAGTGTGTGGCAGGTCCACCCATCCTTGGAGTAACACAGGGGTTCCTGTTCTTTTTCAGGGGCAGTGGCCACTCGAAGACCCCATCACATTCGCTGTGAATCTCTGGAACACCATGGTGAGTGGCTGGGGGTCCTGGGAGGCTGCTGTGCCAGCCTGGGGCGTTGGCCCACAGGAGGGGCAGGGCCTCTACCACCGTGCCCACTCTGCCCACTACTTGGATGGAGGGGCAGCAGGATGCCAGCCAGATCCCAGAACAGTGATTCTGGGCCGCCAGGGAGCCTTCTCACACCTGGTGACAGCCCAGCTCTGACAACGGGGAGCTTCTTCTCCTCGTTCCAAGGCTGAGCCACAGCCCAGACAGTGTAGCCCAGGC